GCAGGGAGCCCGATGTGGGGCTTGATCCCAGGACCCTGGGATCATGACCTGAGCCGAAGGCAGACGCTTAACAACTGAGCCACCCAGGCGCCCCTAAATTTTGTTGTCTTTAGAGGCATGTAGTTTGTGGTAATTTGTTACAGCAGTCTCAAAAAGCTAATAGTATGTAAAACTGATTTTGAAGTGTCATCATCAACCCATAGATGTTTAAGTATTTAAAATGTTTAAATCAAAAACAATCATTACAAATTTGGCATTCAAACTGTAACCTTTTGGTTTTGTGGCCAAGCCTTCAAGTTGTAAACCATCTCTGGGACATAACCTCAGCAGTATCCAGCTTCCTCGCTATCTGCCACAGAAAGTGTCTCAGGCAACCTTGCATATTTTTTTGCCCAACTTGATTCAGCCACTTCTCCAAAGACACTGGTATCTTTTAAATGTAAATGTTATTAAAAGACCATGTGCTGCAGGGTAGGGCGTGCGCACTGCTACGGGGTTACCACTGGTTCTAGGACTTTTCAATGGTTAGAACAAGAAAGGCCTTTTTTTTAGAAAGAGAAAAATAAATTCATGGATGGATACCAAATTAAATTTAAGATTACAGGACTGTCACCTAACTTTTCTGATTCTATAATTCTATCACTTCTCTTCTTCCTTGATAATCCTGGTTCCTGATAACATTACTGTAATTATTAATTTGCTTTCTACTATAGATCTAATTTCAAAGAAACCGTACCTATTACTGAAAATAAGACTACTGAATGCAGTTTAAGATTTATTGATGTTTGGTCTCCTATAACTAAGATTCCAAGCAACTTACTTATGTCACTATGCCACAAATTTGACATATTCTTGAGCTTGCTTTGTTTCATATTTCTAGAAAGTACATTTTATTTTATTAAGATTTTATTTATTTATTCATGAGAGACAGAGAGAGAGAGAGAAAGAGAGAGAGAGGCAGAGGGAGAAGCAGGCTCCCAAGGAGCAGGGAGCCCGATGCGGGACTCCATCCCAGGACCCTGAGATCATGACCTGAGCCAAAGGCAGACACTTAACCATCTGAGCCACTCAGGCGCCCCTAGAAAGTACATTTTAAAAACTTGTTTTAATTATTGTAAAGCGATAAAACTGACTTCCATATAAGTCTAGCTCTCTCCCCTGTATACACCCTTTTATTATTTCTCTTCCTGTTTATGAAATCATTTATATTAATTTGTATCCTTCCACTGTTTTTATACTTGTATTTTTGTTTTGGTGAAAACAGTATAGATATTTTAATACTTTTGTTTTTAAATCTTTCTTTTTTTTAAGATATTTTAATACTTTTACTCATTTCTTTAAGCAAAAAATCAAGTACATAAGCTGTCTAGAATACTGATTTTTTAAAACTTAAAATAATTAATATACCTTGGGGAACATTCTAGAACAGAATATAGAGATCTACCACATTCCTTTTAATAGGTACACAGAATTCCATTGTGCAGATGTGCTATAATTACTTCAACCAGAATGATGAGTATATTGGTTCTTTCTGGACTTTTGCTCTTATTACTACAAAGTCCTAACCAGTGGCTCTTAAGGTGTT